TTTTCGATTTTGTTATCGATTTTTTTTGTGTTGTATCGCAAGTAGTGCGAAGCTCAGCTTCGCCTCTGTGTTCAAATTGCTTTTGTAAGAGACGGTGAACGTAGACTCTAATATAGGTGCCGATGAATTTTTTCCTGTTTTTTGGCAGAAAAAAAATCTTTAAATTTGTTCAGGCTCAGAGTAACTTTTTCGTGGTTCGACTTCGCAAATTGGGTTAATATAATCAAAAAGGTGCCAAACATAAATTGTTTCAGAAACTCAAAGATCGTTAAGATCATCTATTTCTTTAATATTCGAAGCTAAGATATTTGAAAAATCATTTTTTTTTTGCTGTTCCATTGCATTCATTGACTCTTTTCAAACTGCCTGTTGATGTTTTTACGCTTGTCGTTAGCAAGCGTCGTCAAATTGAAATAAAGACTTTTTCGTCTGCCTATGTTTACAACTGGTTCAATAAAATCACTTGAATGATTTGATAACCTTATTTGCAAGCAATTCAGTTTATCGCGCCTAGGCCGGCAAAGGTTGTAGTTTTGAATTGGCCCAGGATTCTTTTTTAAACTGGAAATTTACCGTTTCCAAATAATTGTCAGTCCATCGTCTGTCTGTTTTGTCGACCTAGTTGCCACATAGGGATTTTTTATTGCACTGTAAGCAGTTGCTTCATAATTGAAAGTGTTTTTGACTTATTCCTGTAATTTGTAATTCTACTAGCTCTTGACTTTGTCTAATTTCTTTTTTTTCGGTCAAAAGCTTTATTCGGCCCAAGCAATAGATCCTAGATTTCAGTTTTTTGTTGTGATATTGAAGAGCACTTCGAAATATGATAAAGAGTCGGTTGGGTCAAATTTTAAGCTCTTGAAGTATGGATTTGAACTGCTTGGTAAAAAAATGTGTAAAACTTTCAACTTGAACTGCTTTGATAGACAGTTGAATGATGATGATGCCCAATTTTAAAAAATCTTTATAGAGATGAAAGTTGTCGAAAAGAGTACTAAAATGTTATACAAATTAAAACGTAATAGTAAGAAATCTCCAGAAAAAAAGGGACAGTTTCTGAATCAAGAAGCATCAAATCTTGTGGCTGAATAGTTAAACCAAAAATTAAAAGCTGATAGCATCATCGATAATATTAAGTTTTCAAGCTTTTCAAAATGAAGTGAAGTCCTTGAAAGGTTCCATTCAATTTTTCTGAAAAGGTTTAAAACTTTTCATTGAAGGCAGATGCTTTAATGATTTTTTGAAGTTGGTAAGTTTTTTGGCAAGTATTTATGAGAGTTCTATTTTCAGTTAGAAATTACATTTGTATAAACAAGGCAAATGTTTTTAATGTTTCTTATTTGTGCTAAATTTTATGCATTATTTAATTGGCATTTTGCATTTCACTTGACATTGGTTGAAGAAATCTCTCTGTCCAGAAGCTTGAACAGCTTTAGAAGGGCAAACATCCGACATTTTTCACAAATTAAGGCAAAGGTTTTATTTCTACGGTTTGCTTAAAAGATGCTGTGTTGGCCGCTTTCGCGTCGCTTCAACTTGTTGCGATTTTACCAACAGAAGCTAGCACTGTTTATGAAAATAAGAGCCGTAAAGCGGCGACGCGAGCATGGCGCCCCAATCTGCAGTTTGCTAAATTAGAATTGGCTAATTGAGTTATGTCTTGTGTTTCAAATTCTTAAGTCATTTTGTTACGTAATTATTACATAATTATGGATGTTTTGGACAGTGGATGCTTGACTTATCGGGTGTTTGCACGATGTGTGCATTAGTGGAAGAGAATATTTAAACATCACCGTTCGCGTTTGCTGAGAACATCAACAATTGAAGATTTTGATGTAAGTTTTCTTTTTCCACTAGTACTGTTTATGCTTTCGGTTGACTTTAAAAAATGAAAGGCTTAAAATTTTAAAAAATGTTGAACTTCAAAAATGGATTATAATTGTAGAGGAGTTAGTTTCAGGTAATGGTCTTTGAGGTCAATTGAAAAACTGACACTGAGAAATTTTTAATAGCTAAATTATTATCCTTCGTGTTTTTTAACTGCCCCGCCTTTATCAAAACGTTTTAAGATGAAACTAGAGCGAATGAATAGTAATAAACCTAAGTAATTTTCTTAGTAATATTAGGAATTGAAACTGGTAACGATAACGCTTTGTGAATTTAGACGATAAGAACTGGGCCAACAATTTTTTTGGTTTAGAATGAAGTTGCACAAAAACCAAAAGAGCAAAAGAGTATATTATCACAAACGATCAAAATTATTATTGTAAATTAATTATAAAACTTTACATCGGAACGTATATGTAGCTCTAGAAAAACTTTTTGATTGTTGAGTGGGCGAAGGTTAAGCATTTTAATTTGAAGTTTGTTAGTAATAGCTATTATCCAGCGACCATTTTCGATGTATTTCTTTTTTGTTCTGGATTTCGTTTCTTTTTGAAGATTTGCAATGGTTCTTGATTTTTCGAAGCTTCTTCAGGCGATATAAGTTGAATCAACAGCATATAGTTTAATTAATTTAATATAATTGATAAAATACTATTTTATGGAGAGGTGCAGTTCGACACTGCCTGGTGCTGCCAACCGCATCTGATAAGACAGGGACAGCACCTTAATCAAAAATGGGATATGATGATGATGAGGTTCGGTGTAAATCCAGATAGGCCATCCACATAATCAAATAAGCTAAAGTAAATATAAAGTTAAAATTAATAAGGAATTTTGGATTCATAAGTACCGATAGTTAACAATTTTAGACAGTTTAATGATGTCCTCGTTGACAACGTTACTACTCATTTACAAAAAAAACAACGGGAAACAGTAAATTAAGTGTCAAAAAGAATTCACTGTTGCATTCCGCTTGCTTTGCAACACGACGCGATGGTTAAGTCAGCTAAAGCGTAATAGCTGTTAATGGTAGGCTTTATGTCAAAATCGCCAAATTTTTGTTTCGAAAGCCGATCGCTATTTATTTACGTTTTCTGTTAATTTCCCGAATCGAGTTTAGATGACTGGTAAAGCCAGATGGACAATCTCCATTTTCTAAAATACAAAATCAGAATTGTGCCATTCTTTCAATTTTTCCAGATTATTTTGATGAATTTAAATCTGTTTCTCTGTCTCGATTTGAACAAAATTAACAATAATCCCACAAATAAAAAACGAAATGATTACAGTGGCAATACAGAAGCCAAACAGAAAATATCGAGTTTTCATTCAATTAATTTCATTGCAATCTGTAGAGGCCACGTTCCATCTTCTTTGTCCACGTAGCCAGACTGACTGCGAGTTGACAGTTGATAAGTAATCAGTTTACACAGTTGATTCATTATAATTCATCAAATGAACCGGCGAAAGTTATTTGTTTGAAGCAACAGTGCAAGATTAAAACTGCATTTCAAAAATGTTCTAGCTCAATATATCTCGAAATTTTTTCGAAATGCATAATTTATACATATTTTGGCTTTATGCCTTCGAATAAGGGTGTCAAACATCGATCAGTTTCGAATCAGTCAACTTTTGCGATCTTTTTTTTTTCCAGAATTGTATAAGAAAATTAACCATTTCAATTTTTCTACCTGGCGCTGCAGTTACCCAGATCAATTAGATCTTGTACTTTTTTCGTACTTGGTCCTCTCATTTCTTCTTCTATCCTCTCAAGGTAAGTTAACGGTATAATTATTAATTTGAGTTTTATCAGAAAAGCTTTTCGCCACTCGAATTGATTGTATATTTGAGGATTATCCACAAATATAAGATAACAGCAATACTTTAGTCTGAAAACGTGAAAAGCAAACTGAACAATCTTTTTGTAGTACAAAAGTGGATATAGGATAAGTGGGACGACAGTACATATGACGACTGGACTTTTAGATGGCTTTTTCTCCTTGTTTATATCAGAGTAATGAAAATAACATGTTAAAGCTGGTGAAAATATTAGATTTTTACAACATAATGTTTAAACTCTGATAGTTGCTATAAATCAAACGCGTCCAGTTGAAAATCACATTTTCGATTAAATACAAAGTTCAAGTTTTTAAATACATTATCTAAGCTCGCATATGAACTTGAAAATTTGATAATTTGAAAGTCAAGCGATTATAGCTGTTTTACAGATTCAAATTTCTTAATTTCCCGAAAAATATTTACTCTTAACAGCTGTCGTATTTTTTGGACTCGCAAAAATGCCATACTGGTTTTATTTAGAAACATCAAACTTCTGCAATTTCGGAAGCAAGAAGCGAATTCATGGTTTTATTTGAAGGTGTTGTCGCTCAATGAGAGTTGACAATTTTGTTGACATGTTGATTTTCCGAGCTCTCTTGAAATGTTAGAAGTCCCTATTTTTGTAGAAAAAAATGATTCGGTGAGAGTTGTTTTGTTTTTGGCTGGCGTTATCCCGTGAAGTTTAAGGCATGCCTGCGGTTGTAGATCGAAAAAGAGTCTAATTATATAAAAAATGGTAATTATTTTGGTAGCATAACCGTGACTCTAAAATTGTCCAACGCAAAAACAGTTTTGAAAAAATTGAAAAACAGTCACATTGATTATGTGTCACAATGACACTTGTTTAATGAGGCGATGAGCCAGTTTTTTTCTGATCCCATAAACCGCAGCTCGTGAACAACAATTTTGTTCTAACTAATTCCGACGATGATTTTAAATTACGTAGCTAAAAAAATCATAATACGCAAAAAGCAAAATAGCATTTATGCATTATAGCTGAACTTGCAATAAGAAAACTGACACGGTTCAGAATCGAGTATTTTATGGACAGGTTGTTCAATTTCAACAGGTTTCTTTTACTTATTTGATTTTCTATGTCTCGGACTGTTTCGGCACTAATTTTCTTGCTTGGCCCTAATCAAGGGAATGGTTATCAAGGGAATGGGCAACAAGGATACAATCAAAGAAAAGGGAGATTTGGTAAAGGAAAAAAGAACGGACAGCAGAGAAATGATGGGGGATACGGAAACCAAGGTTTCTCCGGGTTTCAAAATATGCAGTACCCCCCACAAATGTTCCAGTTCCCCCAACAGATGCCTGGAATGCAATCGAACCCCTATTTCCAACAAAACCAGAACTACCCTCAAACACAACAGAACGCTCAATTTTATTCGAACCAGATGTACCCTCAGGGCCAACAAACCCAACAGCAACAAGCGATAGCTACGCCACCACAACAGAATCCTCAGTTTGCCCAGCAAGTTGCACAACCAATGATGCAGCAGGTGCACACCCAAAACCCAAATACAGCAGCAGTTCGCACTGGATCAAAATTCTGTGATCACTGCGGGAAGTTTGGCCATACCATAAGCCAATGTTGGCACAAACCCAAGCCACAGGGACAGCAGCAACAGAATTTCCCGTTCCAAATGGAACCAAAAAACTAACTCAGCCACAAAGTCAGTCAGTCAAATCATCTAAATCACAAAAATCACGTAAATCAAGAAAATCACGCAAATCAAATATTCAAGACGTACAAGACGATGAAATTATTGATCTGTACGCCGTCATCCCAACCGAAGGAACAGTGCTAACTTATATGAAAATAAGATTAGCGCCAAGCCTTCAAAGAAGAGTACTGATTGACGAAGGAGCATGTGCAAACGTAATTTCGAAACAAACATTCGATGAAATTAAAAACGAAAAAACACTATTCGCACCCTATAAATTGGCAAAATCAAGCCTCAAGCAAGTGAGAATGGCAGGAGGCCAACTAGTGTCAATTGAAACTGAAGTTACCATTGAATTTCATATGGCAGATATGAACTTTACGGAAACGTTCCTAGTGCTGAATTCAGCGAATTCAACGATCCTGGGAAACCCATTCTTTAAAAAACACCATATACATGTCTGCTCAAAATACAATCTACTTCACTTTCCAGATTTGACACTCCAAATCAACGAAATTAAACCCGCCAATGCACCTAGACGCACCAACCGAGTAAAAAAATTTCCTCTTGTCCTCACCAAGAAACAAATAATTGCACCTCATCAAACAGTCATAATCGAGTGCCAATTACAAGATACCCTGACTGACATGGAAAAAACGACAGGAATCGTAGTCCCATCACAGGAACTCGAAGAAAAATGCGAATTAGCAGTAACCTCATCAATAAATGAAGTTAACAAACAAAACATCATCTATGTCACGGCATTTAACATGACAGAACATAACTTAACGTTGCCCTTTAAAACCGAAATCGGAAAATTTTCGATACTCACGCTAACCGAGTACGAAAATTTAATACAGATGGAGCCGCAAACTTTGGCATTAGCGAAAATGAACCAGCCGGATAATGTCGAACTCGGAATCAATGAAATAATTTCGCAAAAAACAAGCCCTTCAATAGGATCAGAACAAAAACCACCCCCCGAATACGAGAAATTTTGGTTCCCGACGCCCGAAACGTGCCCTAACCCAGAATCACTTCCCAGTATTCAAAGGGAAATATATGACCAAATCCTCTACTTTCAAGGTCTTGAGAAAATTGAACCAAATAATAACATTCAAGACCGGTTGTCCTTTTTGAGTAACTTTCAGTGGGAGAATTCAGTGTTGACAAATGACCAAAGGTCAGAAGTAGAACATTTGCTCATCGAATATGCGGATATATTTGCCAAACACAGATTTGACGTGGGTTATAATTCCGACCTAAAGATCAAGTTGACACCCGAACATCAACGCCCACTGTACACCCAAGGACCACCTACGCCCATCCAACTAAGGAATGAACTGACGGTTGAATTAGCTCTGATGCACTACTTCGGACTTATAACAACACTGTCACATTCTAAATACAGTAGTCCGTTGTTTGCACATAGAAAGCCATCTGGAAAATTGCGGATGTTGATTGACCTCCGGCGTATCAATCATTCAATCAAAACGGACTATATAAATAGCAATTTTCCAATATCAAACATGACCGATGCATCAAACCACTTTGCCGGAAAGAGTTTGTTTACTAAATTGGACTGCTCACAAGCATACCATTGTGTGCAAATGGCAGATGACCTTTCGGTCCAACTTTTGGCATTTAACTTCGGGTCGCGGACGTACGCCTATAAATGCCTAGCCCAAGGTCTAAGTAAATCTGTCACGGGATTCAGTTCATTCATCCGCCACTACCTCGATCCATGCCTAGCAGCCGATTTGTGCACACAATTCATGGATGATATAGGAAGTGCGGTGAATAATTATGAGGAACTAATACCCACGTTAAAGAAAATATTCGAATGCATCCGAAAATCAGGCTTAAAACTTTCACCTAATAAATGCGAAATAGGAACACAAAGAATGAAATTCCTAGGAAATGTAGTAACACCACAAGGAGTTACGCCAGAGGAAGCAAAAATTTCCGCATTCCTAAGCAAAATAAAAATGCCAAGAACAGTGAAACAAGTTAAAAGACTCATCGGGTTTGTGCAGTTTTTTAGGAACTACATGCCGAGTCTTGGTGAAAAACTAATACCATTCTATAAGCTGCTGAAGAAGCAGATCGACTTTGAAATAACTGAAGATCACCATAAAAACCTCAAAACCCTCAAAGCAGACTTAATACAAGCGACCACGTTGACACTCAGACTACCCAAGCCAGGACTGCAGTATGTCATACTTTGCGATGCCAGCTACCACGGGACTGGATTCGTGTTAATGGTCGAGGACTACGTCAAAAACGAGAAAAACGAAGAAATCAAGACGTACGCGCCCGTTTCTTTTGGTTCCCGGCTATTCAATACAGCACAGCTGAAATTTTCAATCTACTACAAAGAATTCCTAGCCTTGTATTTCGCACTTGATCATTTCTCGCACTACATCTGGGGATCAGTCAAACCAGTGATTGTATTAACAGATAATAGAAGTCTGACGCAATTTTTTCAGGCAAAAACCATACCGCCATCAGTGTGGAATTTCCTGGACCGAGTACTGTCTTTCAACATCATAATCGCCCACATCCCAGGAACAGCAAATTACGCAGCAGACTTCTTGTCCAGGATGCAAACGGACCCATCAGCATCTCTCTCACTAAAACTGACAGACAAAATACCAGTCAGGGAAATTTATATCGACACAACAGCAAGAGTACCCGATGCATCGCTTAACCTGGTTCAATCTATCGATGAGGCATTTTCTGAAACAGAGCAGGTCGATGAAGCTCTAGTAGCAAACCTGCAAAGATTAGGACTTTATCAAGCATACCTCGACAAACAAACAACATGTGATAGTCAAGGAACAATAGAACCTAAGGCGCTTGTAATGTTGAAGAGGCCGATGATGAATGCGATAGAGTATCCAGATCCAGCAGAGAACCACATTGAACTAGACTCCAAAAATGAGCCAATTGACAGGAAAAAGGAACAACAACAAGATACTGACATCGAAGAAGTAAAGAAGTGGATAAGAACAGGCGAAATACCAGACCTTACGTATGCGAATAGCAGACTAAAGAAGTACGCAAAGCAATTCAATCGACTTGTCATTGAAGACGAAGTCCTTCTCCGCAACTTCTACGACGATACTGGTAAAATCAAACATAAACAGTTCTGTGTACCAAAACACATGTGGAACGAAACCCTATACAGAGTCCATAATTCGATGACAGGAGGACATATTGGCATGACACGAACCACAGAGGAATTCAGAAGGAGATTCTATTTTCCCGGATTCTCGGAGTTTTTGGTCAACACAGTCAAAAACTGTTTAACGTGCCCGCAGCTCAAAAATGCTTCGAGTAAACATCAAACGCCACCACTTCAACCACTTTCCTCGTTACAATCATACCCTGGTGACATGATGCAGATCGATATAGTCGGACCGCCAAAGTCACCGGTTTACAAGTTTGTTTTAACTGGAATCGACGTTTTTTCAAAATACCTGTTCGCAGCACCAATGACGAACGCAAGCGCTGATACGGTGGCGAGAGAACTAACGAAGATGTTTTTCATGCACAGTTATGTGCCAAAAAGGATACTGTCGGACCTGGGAAGTGTATTTACCTCTAAGTTAATCCACGAACTCACAGGCCTTCTAAACATCAAAATTGGACACGCAACGCTGAAACACCCACAAACCATCGGACTGGTGGAAAGATCCCATGGGGCACTGAAAAGGATCCTCAAACTTAACACTGACGCCCAATGGACCGATTGGCACCGTTATGTACCCCTTGGGACCTTCATACACAATACGTCATACTACTCGTCCATCGGATGTTGTCCGAGCACCATTTTCCACGGGAGAGAGCCTACCAAACCGCTTGATCTCAGATTTTCAACCAAAGCATTGGAAATTGCTACGGCTAATGCCGACTTTGTAACCGCGTTACAAGACGCGATGCTCGAAAAATTCAAAGAGACTAAAGACAACATCGTGTCATCATATCACAGATACCGGGGATACTACGACCAAAAAGCACTAGCCCAACCGCTAGTACTTCACTCGTTCTGTCTCCTCCTCAACCCTCTTCTAACAAATCAGTCTGATACCCGGAATAAGTCACTCCAAGTGTGGCTCCCCTTGTATAGAGTGGAAAACGTTCTAACTAACAGCAATTACATAGTACGGAAAGTCGGAACCAACCACACACAGTGTGTCCACAGAATTCGACTCCGATCGATTCGACCACAGAATCAACCAGAAGACATTGACCCAATCGATGAGGCTCAATTCGTGGTAGATCCGTCACTTAGCAAGTACCGCAGTGAGCCAGGGTTATTTGATGACTACCTACCTAGACTGCTTGACGACGTTCAACCGCAACACGACAGCGAAATCCAACAAGCAACTCCGACTACCATCCGCTTATCAATACCAGTAGGAGGACCACTGGCACCAGCGCCACCCCCCGCAGTAGTTATGGCACCACCGCCTCCAGTAGCACTCCCAGTACCGCCACTAGTAGTGCTTCCTCCACCACCACCAGCACCACCACCACCACGTGAACCACCAGCACCAATAGTACCACCAAGGCCGCCATCTCCACTTGATATCGAACTGGAACCAATGAATCCACCACAGCCTGGGCAACAGGAAGCACCAATTGGGGAAGATCACATGGACGGAGCGGGAGCAGCAGAGCCAGGTGAAATGGCACAAGAACGTGACGAAACTGCCGAGGAACAACCCGTACAAGAACCACCGCGAACGAGACGCAAAGCAGCAGCCATAGCACGTGACAGGATATATGGACAAACTCGATTTAGCAACGACGTACGATACCACCCAATACCACCTCGGGAGAAGCACCCTCGCAAATATGGTCTGAGAACAGTAGATGGACACGAAGTTGCTCCGGTTACCTTTAGCCCAATATCTAAACGGAAAGAAAACCAGGAAAAAGTACGGCAACAAGCAGCTGAGGCAAACGAATTATTCCCCCCAAAAGAACAA